TCAGCCGCCTCTACTGCCAAGTGGCTGCTGTTCCAAAAGTTGGTTTCTGCGTGGAAGGGGCTGTCTGGAACCTCAGAGCCATTTCCCATGGAAACAGTGCTCCAAATGATGGGTGACGTTCCCACACAGGCCTGCTTCATCTGGCCGCAGCCGAGCTGAGATGGCAGTGGGGCTTCTGATGGGGGAGCAGGAGGCTGGGAATAGTGGAGCCTCAGAGCAGAAGAACCCCGAGCGAGTGTGAGTATGCTCCCTATCTCCAGGAACAGGGTAAACAAGGAGAGAGTGAACATGTGGGCACCTTCTCTGACCTGGGCATATCTCATATATTTTTATTTCATGCTTGTAGCTATACTGCAAAGTATGACTCTCTAACCAACCCCAGTGCACACATAAGATCCTGAGGCCCTGAGTGGTAATTTGCCCAGAGTCATTCAACTGGTCAGTAAGAGTGTGTCCGCACAGAAAAACAGTGGGAACCTTTAAGGAGAACCCCAAGTCTGCCTTATACCCCAAGGGTATACCTCTAACGTGCCTTTAGTTGGGAAGGCTGGCCAGGAGGCGGGGATGTTGTGATATGAGCACTTGGCTCCTTAACCTCCAGCTAAGCAACTTTTTATCCTGTGGTGACTTTCCTCATAGTCTGTGAGTGGTTTTGTTAAAATCTTTCTCTGTACCGTGCGAGACCAGCTTATTTTGCAGGAGTGTGGCATGTGCTTTTTTGGCATCTTGACTAACTTGCCAGTTTACAAGGGCATCATTGGTCAGGAGGGTTTGGGGGTGGAAAAATATGACCATCAGAAGATCCAGCCTCTAGCCTTTATGAATTGGAAGGTTCTCTGAACTCAAGTCTCCTGCCCTGGAGACCCCTTCTTTCTTCCTGGCTCATTCTAGTTTCTAGAAGGTACTGTCTGTACAATTGCTCTGACTTCCTGGTAGGAGGAGGGACGTAGTCCCAACCCTGGCTTAAGAGCTACCCCTAGAAGACTATGTGTTAAGGCCAGCTCTGTGGATCAGAGTTTGACCCTGTTGAGAAATGCCAGTGTTGAGCCTCTGGTTCACTCAGCAAGCGTCTGCTCTGTGCCAGAGCTGGGCCAGAATCTGGGGGTACAGAGAGGAATAGATGCAGTCTGTGACCTTTGTGCACAGTAAATATGCAGAAAATTCCAAACGTGACGGTGACCCCTGTATCAGCAACCTCAGGGCTCAAAGCACAGATGGTGGCAGTGTCTCCCTTGGGAGGCGACTCCGGGGCCTCATCCTGACCCACAAAGAGCTATGTGCTCTCCAGGGGCCCTGGGTGTGTGTGGAGGATACAGTGCGGCCACAGGAAGCACCAGGAGAGCACAGGAGAGTAGAGCATGAGGGGCTGCAGCATGGGTGCGGCGGGAGAGTCAGCAATGGCAGCTTTTGATAGGCCCCTGATGTCCAGTGAAGGAGCCTGGACTTTACTCAAGGGCTGTAAGCAGCACTGAAAGGTTTTTCAGTGCAAGGGACCCAGTCTGCTGTCTCTGTTAACCATATAGTCTAACCCTGTTCCTCTGAGTACAAATTAGAAAGAAACCCCAAGTGGGAAGGGAACCCTGACTTGGATACCTCTGGCCTCTGGGGGTTCAGCCCCTAAGTGCAGGATACTGCTAAAAGGAGGGGCCCTCAACTGGCCATTTCCTGCCAGCTGCCTTGGCAAGCAGAGGGCATTTTTAAACCAGTCCCCAGGTGACTGTGCTGTGTGTGGTCTGAGCACACTCAAAGGTTCGATTCATGTCTTCCACCGTGTTTACTGGCATATTTCTTATCTTGTTTTCTTTTGAGAAGAAAATCAAGAGAAATGGTTTTCCTTCCCAATTCCTTCTCACTCACTTAGTATTTTTTATTCACGTTACTACCAGCAGAGAATGGAAGTTTAAAACAGCCTCTCTCACCAGCAAACACATTTTGTCCTGCCCCACCCCAGGATAAGACAGCGGTTGATGAGGGGCTGTGAGGGGCTGACTCCCTGCTCTGCTACCCTGAAAGGCAGAGGAAAGAGGGAGCCAGCCCTCCAACAACTCCTGGCCCTCCTGGACCACCATCACTTCCATGGATTTGACCACGGGAGAGCTCACTTAATTGAAGCCCCAGTTTATCCAGAGATGCTGGAACCAGATTCTGGGGCTGCAGCTGCTACCTGGTCAGATTCTACTCCAAAGGAGCCTAATTCTCCACTCGAATGAGGGGGGATCAAAGTTTTTCAAGTGGTTTGAACATTTTAATTTGTTTGGAACATTTTAATACTAAAAAACTTTTCCAGTACACAAATAGAATACATGCTTACTTTAGTAAATCAAAATATTAAGAAAATGAAAATACCCTGAAATTAGCCTCAGAGACAACCACCTGCTGAACTTTTTGTTACCCAAATCCACAACTAGAGATGGGTTCCTTTGTGGAAGTGGGAAGTTTTTCCTGTTTTTTAAAAAATTTTTATTTATTTATTTTTGCAGACAGTCTCAATCTGTTGCCTAGCTTGGGTTGCACAACTCCTGAGGTCAAACAATCCTCCTGCTTTAGCCTCTGGAGCAGCTAGAATTATAGGGTTGGCTAATTTTTGTATTTTTTTGTGGGGGTCTCACTTTTTCCCAAGCTGGTATCAAACTCCTGGCCTCAAGCATCCTCCTGCCTTGGCTTCCCAAAGTGCTGGATTATGGCAGGTGCAGTGGTTCATGCTTGTAATCTTAGCACACTGGGAGGCTGATGTGGGAGGATCCTCTGAGCTCAGGAGTTTGAGACCAGCCTGCATAAGAGCGAGACCTCATCTCTATTAAAAAAAAAGGTAAAAAAATTAGCCAAGCACAGAGGCAGGCACCTGTAGTCCCTGCTACTTGGGAGGCTGAGACAGGAGGATCACTTGAACACAGGAGTTTGAGGTTGTTGTGAGCTAGGCTGATGTCACAGTACTCTAGTCTGGGCAATAGATTGAGACTACGCTATCAAAAAAAAATTGAAATCAAAGGGCTGGGATTATAAGCATAAGCCACTGCACCTGGCTAGCCTGGTAGTTTTTTGTTTGTTTATATATAATATAAACTTTTTCTGGGTTAGTGACTAGAAGAAACCATCCTTTTAAATGACTGCATGGTATTCTATTATGTGGATAAATGTTTTAAATGTTGTCGCCCAACATTCATTTCCATTTTCCCCATTCTTAACATCCTTGTGGACGGATTACCTCCTTGGACTAAATTCTTACATGTGGTAGAGCTGCAGGAGAGGACATGTCCATTTTCAACTTCAAATATTTATGTGAGGGTATTCTCAGTCCAGCCTAGGCAGATTTCCACTCTCACCGCAGTGTAGAAAAAGCTTGTGCTTCCCCCACACTCTGGGGAAGTCCTAGATGTCAACACCAGGCTTCAGTAACTGCAAAGGATTCTGCAGTGATCTTATCTGTGGCCCCATGCAAATCAGCGTGGCTACAGAACCCACATTTGTGTCTAAAACCCCTTCTGTCAAAATCTAGAATTGAAGCTTCTCTTAGAGCTTAAAATAACTGTACAAATCATCAAATCCAGACCTCTGAAAGATAAGGGCACTGTGACTCCAAGAGGTCAGCGTCCTTTCCAAGTATTGGCAGGGCACGCATGGACCCAGTTCTTGTGCTCCCGGCCGCACTGCCTCCTGCCCTCTAGGAGACCTTAATTTTCCCTGTCACACAAACACCATGCCTTTCCCCCTCCCAACTTGCACAAGGATCTTTTCTTCTACATGACAGGTAGGATCAAGCTTTCTGTCCCTTGGTTCCTGGTCAGTTTTTGTGCTACCCAGGAATGTCCTACCAAGAGGTGGTTGGTGTTGCTTCTCCTTGGCAGGGTCTGTCGCTAGCAGGTTAGGTTCCTGGCAGTAACTCCCAAATTGTTGTTTAGGTGACTTCCACCCCCTACCAGTGTTTAACACTTAGTGCTGTCCACCTCCTCCTTCTGGAAACTACTGGCCTCCATTACTGCAGCATCCTGGTTCCCCTCCTGTTTCTGTCAGTGCTCCTGCCATGCTCCCTACTTGCCTCTCCTTTTCGTCACTTTGTGACAAAGGTCACTCTTCACTTCTCTGCCATCACCTCTTCACAACCAGTCCTGACTGGTTGTGGCCCAGTCTACCCTCTTAAGGCCCATTTACTTTTTAGAATCCTGGTCCTACATTTCCTCCGACTCGCTACAGCTTGGAATTCCTCAACCTTGGCACTGTTGATGCTTTAGGATGGATAATTCTTTATGTGGGGGGAGGGACTGCCCTATTCCTTGTAGGTCCTGGCTTCTGCTGACTAGATGGTAACACCCACTCAGTTCTGACAAGCTGAAATATCTCCAGACATTGCAACTATCTGCGTGACAGAGTTGCCACTGCCTTAGCTAGACTCAACATCATCAAAACAAAACTTTGGCCTGCTCCTCCCCGACTAAAATGGGATTAGCCAGATGCCCTAAGATTCCAGTATGACTTTAAGAAAGGACAAGGAGACAGAGGGAGAGGAGGTAGGGTCATAGAATTTTGAGAGTCAGAGGAGTCGTGGGGTCCCTGGGCTCAGGTGTGCTAAGCTGCCATGGCCTCCTTTCCCTGTAAGCTTAGACACAGCCTGGCATTCTTCTGAGCATAGGATGTCAACTGGTGATGTGAAAGGTGAACCTTCATGTTTACCTGTACAGGGCTGGGGCAGAAGTGTCAAAAATCTGCTTTGCTATAGCTTTTGGCTGTACAAACAAGACCAATGGTATTACCTCCCCAAGAGCAGACCTAGTACATGGTTGGTGTTTAGTAAGTAATGGTTGGATGACTTATTTTAACAGTGATTGACCTAGATGATAGGACTGGGGGCAATACTTTTATTTTCTTTTGCATTTTTTTCATTTTTAAGCCTTTCTTTATTGGGAATATTTATTACTTTGTAAGCATGGAGGAAAATGCATGAATACGTTCTCATAAGTCAGAAAAACGCCCTGGACCTCATTCCACATGTCTTGCCTCCCTAGGTCTGACCTACGAGTAACATGGCAACCAGTGCTGTTCCCAGTGACAACCTCCCCACGTACAAGCTGGTGGTGGTGGGAGATGGGGGTGTGGGCAAGAGTGCCCTCACCATCCAGTTTTTCCAGAAGATCTTTGTGCCTGACTACGACCCCACCATCGAGGACTCCTACCTGAAACATACAGAGATTGACAATCAGTGGGCTATCCTGGATGGTGAGACCATGCAGCCGTGCATGGGGGGACGTTAGGTGGGAGGGTAAGGGAGATTGGACAGGCTTCAGTGTGGCAAGATTGTTTTCCTCATTTGGTGTTACAGGATGGACAGTAGAAGGCCGTGCATAGTTTCCAGGGTGGATTCTGAACAGGGAAGGCCTCAGAGGACTTGAAAAGCTTTATGGAAACCCAAATGTGCATTCAACAAAGAGGCGAGGCTAGAATCATGCCAACTCAGTGATGTCATATTTGTTATTTCTTGCTGATCAGAATCTCTGATTAACAGTTAGGAATGTCTCTAACTAATAAAAAATGGAAAAACACATTATTTCTAAATGAGCACAGTTTAGTTGGTAATTGTCCTTTGGAGGGAAAATTCTTGCATCTGACATTGTATCTCTGGTTGAGTGTGAGTTATTCTAGTAGTTCTCAGTGTGGTAGCCAGGCAACTGCAGCAGCATCACCAAGGAACTTATTAGAAATTCCAATTCTTGGGCCTGTGCTGACTTGGAAATTCTGAGGCTGGGGCCTGACAACCTGTGTCTTAACACATCCTCCGCTGGATGCTAAGGTTAGAGAACCACTGCTCAGCTTTCTTATTGATTATTGCTTTTATTGTCCGAGTCTTCCTCTTAAAAAAAGATCCATTAATCATAATATCAGTCTAGGAGGAGAGCTTTGAAAACCAGTAGGATACAAGCCCTCTGACAAATATGTGATTTGCAAATATTCTCTCCCAGTACATGGCTTTTCATTCTCCTAACAGTTTGTTGCTGAGACCAAAGTTTTTAATTTTGATGTAGTCCAGTTTATCATTTGGTCCTTGTATATATTATGCTTTTGATGTTGTGTCTAGAAATCATTGCCTAATCTAAGACCATAGAGGGATTTTCCTATGTTTTCTTCTAGAAGTTTAATGGATTTAGCTTTTACGTTTAGACTGATGATTTACCCTGAGTTGATTTTATATATAGTGTGGATATGAATCAAAGTTCATTTTTCTGTATATGGATATGTAGTTATTCTAGGAATGATTGTTGAAAGACTTGTCCTTTCCCCCACTGAATTGCGTTTATACCTTTGGTGAAAATTAGTTGTCCAACTATTTTCTTACCTATTTGTTTATCTTAACATTAGTACCATACAGTCATGATAACTGTCACTATATAATAAATCAGATAGTATTAAGGCTCCAACTTTTCAAAGTTGTTTTGACTAGTCCAGGTCTTGGTTATTTCTATATTTTTATATGAATTTTAAAACTGGTTAAATTCTAAAATTCTATGTTTTGATTGTGATTGTGTTGAATTTGTAGATCAGTTTGAGAATTGACACTTTAACAATGTTGAACTTTCCTACCTATGAACACAATATCTCTTCTTACTTATGTAGGTCTTTAACTTCTCTCATCAATTTTTTTGGTGATACTTAAAGTACATACGTCTTTTACATACTTTATCAGATTTATGCCTACATCTGTATTGATGCTATTGTAAATGATTTTTTTTTGAGACTCTGTGGCCCCGGCTAGAGGGCAGTGGCATGATTACAGCTTAATGCAACCTCAAACTTCTGACAATGGCATGATTACAGCTTACTGCAACCTCAAACTTCCAGGCTCAAGCAGTCCTCCTGGCTCAGCCTCCAGAGTAGCTGAGATTACAGGCATGCACCACCTTGCTTGGATAATTTTTTCTATTTTTCGTAGAGATGGGGTCTCACTCTTGCTCAGGTTGGTCTCAAATTCCTGAACTCCAGCGGTCCCCCTGCCTCAACCTCTCAGAGTGCTAGGATTATAGGTCTGAGCCACCACACCCAGCCCCATTTTTGTTTTTAATTTCAATTATTTGTTGCTAGTATATATAAATATGATAGATTTTTATATGTTAATCTTGTAACCTGTAACCTTGCAAAACCCATTAATCTATTAGTTCTGGGAGCTTTTTTATAGATTCCACTGGATTTTTCTGCATAGACAGATGTCTACAAGTAAAGACAGTTTTACTTCTTTCCCAATCTGGTTGGATTTTCTTTCTTTTTTTTTTTTTTTTTTTTTTTTGCCTTATTCTATTGATTAAAGCTTCTAGTATACAGTTAAAAAGAAATAATAAAAACAAACATCCTTGCCTTGTTCTTGATCTTAAGGGAGAAGCTTTCTATCTTGAGCATTAAGTATGAGTTAGCTGTATGTTTGTAGATGCCCTTTACCAAGTCAAGGAAGTTCCACTCTAATCCCAGTTTGCTGAGAGTTTTTGTCAGGAACAGATGTTGGATTTTTTTCATGTGCTTTTTTCCTGTCTACTGAAATTTTTCTTTTTTAGTTTGTTAATATGGTAAATTACATTAATTTTTTTCTGATACTAAACTAACATTGCATTCCTGGGATAAACCACACTTGGTTATGATGTATTATCATTTACTGTATTGTTGGCTTTGGTCTGCGGAAAGTTTGTTTAGAATTTTTGCATCTTTGTTCTTGAGAGATTCTATAGTTTTTTTGAAGTGCCTTTGTTTGATTTTTGGTATCAGAGTAAGACTGGCATTATAGAATGAGTTGGAAAATATCACCTGTTTTTCAGTGTTCTAGAAGTATTTAAGGAAAGTTGATATTCTTTCCTCCTTAAATTTTAGCAGAATTCACCACCAACACCATTTGTGCATGGAATTTTCTTTGTGGGAAGGTTTTAACTACAAATTAAATTTCTTGAATAGATGAAGAGTTATTCAGAGTTTTTCTGTTTTCTTCTTCAGGGAGTTTGGGTAGCTTGTGTCTTTCAAAAATTTGTTCAGTTTATCAGAGTTATGAAATTTGTTGGCACAAAGTTGTTCATAATATTCTCTTATTGTCTTTTTATTTTTATTTATTTTTATTTATTTTGCAGTTTTTAGCCGTGGCTGGGTTTGAACCCACCACCTCCAGTATATGGGGCCAGTGCCCTACTCCTTTAAGCCACAGGCACCGCCCTCTTATTATCTTTTTAATATCTATAGAATCTGTAGTGGTATCACCTCTCTCATACCTGCTGTTGGAAGCTTGTGTCTTCTCTCTCTCTCTCTTTTTTGTTTTTTTGAGAGACAGAGTCTTTTTTGGTTGCTCAGGCTGGATCATATCTCTCTGTAATCTCAAAACTTCTGGGCTCAAGTGATCCTCTCACTTCAGCCTCCCCAGTAGCTATGGCTACAGGTGCATGCTACCACCCCCAGCTAATATTTTTGTTTATAGAGACTTAGTCTTATTATGTTGCCCAAGCTGGTCTGCAACTCCTGGGCTCAAGTGGTCCTCCCACCTCAGCCTCCCAAAGTGCTGGGACTGTAGGCATGAGCCATTGTGCCCAGCCTGTGTCTTCTGTTTTTTATTTCCTAATTGGATTGGCTAGAAATATATTAATATTATGATTTTCTCAAAGAACTGGCTGGTCCATTGATTTTTTTTTCTCATTTAGTTCCATTGATTTTCAGTCTTTATTATTTCCTTTTGTCTTCTTACTTTGAATTTAATTTTTTCTTCTTGTTTTAATTTTTTAAAGTGGAAACTGGTATCATTTCCTGATCTGAGACATTTCTTCTCTAAAAAATCCATTTGGTGCTATAAATTCCCCCTACCTGCTCCTTTAGCTGCACCCCACAAGTTTTAACATGTTGTGCTTTCATTTTCATTCAGTACAGAATACTTTCTATTAGTAACTTCCCTTTTAATTTCTTCTTTAACTCATACTTTTTTTAGAAGTATTTTCGAGTGTTTCAGCATTTTCCTGAGATATTTCTGTTCTTGATCTCTAATTTCATTGTGTCAGAAAACATATAGTGTATTATTTGAATTTTTTTTTTTTTTTTGAGACTGAGTCTCACTTTGTCACCCTCAGTAGAGTGCTGTGGTGTCAGAGCTCACAGCAACCTCAAACTCCTGGGCTCAAGTGATTCTCTTGCCTCAGCCTCCCAAGTAGCTGGGACTACAGGTGCCTGCCACAATGCCTGGCTGTTTTTAGAGACGAGGTCTCGCTCTGCCTCTGACTAGTCTTGAACCTGTGAACTCAGGCAATCCACCTGCCTTGGTCTCCCAGAGTGCTAGGATTATAGGTGTGAGCCACCGCGCCCGGCTATTATTTGAATTTTTAAGAACCTATTGCGTCAGCTCAAAATAATCTTTATGAAAAATAAAAAGTATTAAGGCTTGTGTTATTGCTCAGAATATGGTCCATCTTGGCAAGTGTGTGAATGTGAAAAGAGCACGTATCCTGCTGCTGTTGGGTGGTGTGTTCCATGAATGTTAATTAGATCGAGTTGGTTGATAGTATTGTGTAAATCTTTCGTCTCCTTGTTGATTTTCCACCACTTTTTCTATCAATTAATGAGAGAATAATTGAATTTCAAAGTATAATTGTAGATTTGCCTAAGTTCCCTTTTAGTTTGTCAACTTTTGCTACATGTACTATACCGTTCTCTTATGACGTGTATAAATGTTTAGGACTGATATCTCCTCCTGAGAAATCAGCCCCTTGATTGTTATGAAATGACTTTCTGCATCCCTGGGTTTTTCTTCCCTGCCCTGCAGCCTGGAAATTCTCTCAAGGCAGTGTGCTATATATTCATAGACACTCTCACCTCTTTTGTGTCCCATCTCTCAGCGATCACTGTTGTTTATTGCCTGGCGTCTTCAAAACTGTGGTTTCACATATTTTGTCTGTTTTTTGGTTGTTTCAGGTGAGAAGGTAAATCTGGTCCCTGTTACTCCATCTTGGTCAGAAGTCGAAGTGAATCATGACTTTAAAAAAACAAAACTAAAAAAAATAAATAAAATAAACAAAACAGTGAATATACTAAAAAAAAACCACTGAATTATTTACAGGGTGGCCATAAAGTTCATGTAAGGGTGCATATTATGGCATATGAATTATATCTCAATTTTATAAAAACACCATTTTTTAGGGGCTCGTTTGCAGCCTTGGGACTTTAAACAGTTTTACCAGTTATCAAGCGTGTTTCAGCCTCAGGGACATAGC